GAGTTATATGCCCAAACAAGCTTTCCTCTTGAAAAAAAGTCATTATTGATCCACACTGCCATCTAATCACAAAGCTGAAGCAACAGGGAGACAAAGGAGTGMTCTGACTGTCCAAAGCCCAACAGCAATGACAACTGGGGCACAAGGGCTGCACCAGCTATAAAAAAAGATTTACAGTGAAGATGCRATATCAAGCAGGAACAAACTGGCAGCAGGGAAAATGGGTGGAAACATGGACATTACCTGCCCTGTTTGGTGCATTTCAGCCCTCCAACACTTCCACGAGCGGCCCGGCTAAATCATGACTGCAATTGCAGACCCCACCTGGGGAGCACATGGGTGTCCTGAGCACTGAGTAAGAGCAAAGCCTCCTTGTGCACAGCCAAGGGCCGTGGTGGATTGGAATACACAGCGATAAATGGAGATTGACGTCACCGCTGTATCAGTATTACTACGCCGACAGAAGGATGTGGTGAGACGAGGTGATGAATTCAGGTCCCAACACCCACACAGCATTTATTACTGTACTGCTCTGCTCTCTTACATGAGAAAAAGGTGGGAGAGCTGATAAAAACTCACCAGCCTCATAGCTAAAAGGTCACAGTGGGGCTGGTGGGCTCACACTTGTGAGGTGAGGAGGCATCAGAGTCAAGGCATTAAAGGGCTGAGCCAAACTGCTTAGTATGATGTAGTTCTGCTTCCAACCCCTCCCCTAATGGTCCCAGGACCAGGGCAACAGCATCAATCCCCAGACCACAGGCAGGGAGGTCATCTGGCTCCTGCCCAGCTGAGGGGCTCGCCCCTGCTGTGTTTCATGCCTGTAGCTTGTGTCTGGGCCAGGTCCCTTTAGATTGCAAGCCTGACACTGAGGGAGGGTCCATCCACTCACCTAAGCTGCCTTTGCAGGGGCTGGATACACTCACTGTATCCTCGGACAAGAGCGAAATGAGCAGCACTACAGCAGGATTTGGCACACACAGCCCAAGAAGACTGAAACATTGAAGCTGGCACAAAGCAGGCTGCAGGATGAGGGGGCTCTGTGCTCAACCCTCCATGCCTCTGACACCCTATGACAAACATGTTTTGGAACATTCAGGCTGGGGCAGGTGACCCCTGACCACGCTTGCCAGGTATTTACAGGTAACTGAGCTGGTTGTACACTGTTAGAACATTCMTGGAGGAGGGCACATCACTTAGAGCAGAAGCTGCTCCTCAGGGTGTCAGGAGCATCCTCCGTGAGCAGCTCTCCCTTCTGCATGCTCTGTGGATCACTTACAGGCACAGTGTCAGGCCCAAGCTTCTAGAAAAGATTAGTCTTAGTTGATACTGCCTATTGTGGAGATTGTCACCAATCTYAGGTGCAGTGTGGGACAGTACAGGCTCAAAGAGGCTGAGCAGCTAAGTTAGAAATTTCCCAAGCTCTCAGGAATATCTTTCTGCTGTGAGGACAGCACACCAGGACTATGGGGTAGCTTTTGCCCCCTGATTACACAGAACTCTCCAGAGTGTGCCAATACTGTTATTTGTGCAGAGGAAAGAGGGAAAGGGCAGCATGTGTGACCAGTCCAAAGAGTGATAGTCTGGCAGGCACAAACCACACTACTTTTAAACCATGCAATAATATGCATTTAATACTACAGAGCAAATTTTTAAAACAAGAACACTGATAGTCCTGTAAGATCAATGGCTTTATAAATTCAGACCTACTGCACCAAAAGGCCTGTTTTCCTCAAATTTAACTCATAAAAAGTGTAATTTCAGCCCAGTCTGCAGCAACAATATTCACCAAGAAGCAAGCGTGAAGGGCAAACAAGGGAAAGCTTGGTAGATTCTGCTGTTCATAAYCCAAAATTATTTTGCCATCACTGGAAGAAGGACAACATCAGTAGGTATTTATCAGCAAGAATCTATATTGAAAAAATAACCATCAGAGCTGACAATTCCTTTCTCTAGGAGATAAAACTAGTCACACTTGCAGTTATCAGGTTCATGATTTGGAAAAAAAAGAAGAAAAAACTCCACAGAAACAGTTCTATCTCTGTATTTTCTTCCTGTCATAACAGAATCAAACCAATATCCCCAGCAGCGTGAAAGATACAGACCTGGCACAACTTTAGAGTCAAAGGCACCATTACTGGTTGGGGACGTTTAGGAGGAAGATAATCATACATGACAATAAGAAAAACATGGCAGAAGAACAGCTGAGACATGAGTAACMGTGTTCTGCTGGAAGGGAAAGCAATAGAAGAAACCACCTCAAAGCTCAGGAAACAGGCTAAAATATGAATGAGCCAGGCAGAAAGCGGAGGTGTTAGTCAGCAAAGCAGCAGGTTGAAAAACACCAAAGCTCCACAGGCGGTGGCTAAGCTGACACAGGATGCTGCAGGGGAGGGAGGAGTGCATTGCTTTCAGTCTGGGGAATGTTGAGAGTCACCTGCAGAGACCCCAGCATCCTGTCCTCCTGCCTCCCTTCTGCCTTTGCCAGTGCTCTGCAGCCACCAACACTGGGCTCAGCCTCTTGTTTTCCCCAGTATTCATCAAACCTGAACCCATCCTGCATGAACGCTGTAATTAGAGGAAATCACTCTGGCTCCTGCCAAAGGAAAAGGGCTTACCTTTCCAGAGCTGTGACYATGCACGTCTTGCTCACATGGAGGAGCTTGCACAGAGACTCGTATGTTCTCTTAGGAAATCACCAGCCTCATGCTGGTAAACAGAAACAGGAATGAGTGTGCTTGTGAACTCGCCCTGACCATCTGGAACAGAAACCTACAGCTCTGCTCAGGCTCAAAGCCAACATCCTCAGCTGCASCGTGCAAAGCATGCCCAGAGCATCTCCACACGAGGTCAGCAAGACTGTCACTCATCCCCACAGTGCTCACCTGAGCTGGCAGTGCTGGCAGAACTCCCTGCTCCTTTCGTGCAAGTTGGCAGACACTGACCCCCTTAGAGGCAACATCTGCCAGCTTGTGCCCACATCTCTGCAAGTGGAGATGCATCCAGACCAGAGCTCTGCTCCTGGCACTCAGCTATTTATGGCAAAAGCCTCACTGCATCTCATGGAGTTTTGTTTTCCCTCCACTGTCAAAAATCCGCGTGTCCCACTGATCCTGCGAGGCTGCAGCTCTGCCACAGCCGGGGTTGGGTGCAGCACTGCAGGCAGCTCCACCTGTCACAGGGTGAAAACCACAGCAGCTGCTGCAACCTCTGGCTGTGGCAGCCTGTGCAAAGCAGAGCCAAGCAAAGGGCTCAGCCAGCACACAGCAAGCTGCAGGCGGGTGGCCAGCTGTACCTGGAAACTACAGAACGTGCAGAACTAACACATTAATGACTCCTCATATCACTGGCAGCAATGTTTCGTGTCTTTAGGAGAAAAGGCAGGAACAGAGCYGCTTCTCAGAAAAGCCACCCCTCCACTATAAAACCTTGTCACWCAAACCCGACACAGCAGCATAGCTGGAGGTTTTAAAGTTGTAAGAACAGCAAAGGCAACTTCACCAGAAGTGAGAAGAATTCCTTGATACTTCTGAACAAGAGTGTCTGTTGCAGAGGCCCAGCACAGCTCGGAATGAGGCCATGGAATAGGCAGCACATGCCAAACTGTGTTTCCTAATTCCTGCTGTAGTGGAGGAAACAAAGCATTTCACGGCTCCACTGCCCCTGCTGCTGTGGAGGCACACAGGATGTGCTTCTGAAGCACCTCAGTCAGCAGTGGAGGGAACACCACCCTGTGAACTGCCCTGCACAACCTTCAAACCCAGGGCCTGCCAGATGTGCACTGGTCAGCACCTGCAGCACAGCATGAGCCAGCTCCTCCAGACCTCAGCTGGCTACTGACCACAGCAACTGGCTCCTTGGCCAGCCATGGCCAATGCACACCTGCTTCTCACAGCAGCTCTCTGGGGCATCAAGACAAGAAATGGGAACTGGTTATAACTGACCCAGGTGTGGAAATTCTACCCCCAGAATGCAGCCCAGTGCTTTCTCACCTCATTATACTTCTTGTTGCAGTGTGGGTGGMTTATTGCAAATGAAACCAGCAGTAGCTGAGCTGGGGAGAAGCAGTCAACCTCAGTCTCTTCGGCTCACAGCAAATTTCCCCATTTCTAAGAGCTGGGGAAACAGCAGCAAGTAGGAAAATCCCAGTGCTACGTGTTAGTCACCAGCTTGTTAACCTTCAACCAGAGGGCAAGCACCACACTGTTATGAATGCCCTGCTCTTTACAATCAGGTAACAAATTGTAAGGATGAAGCAAATGGCTGATCCATCACTCAACAGGGACAGGAGCTCCTCAGGGTGCCTGCCACGCTTCATGCACTGGGGCAGGTCTCGCACCGTAATCCCTCTGCCAAAGCCAGGCTGTGGCTCAGGCTGTACTCTAACAACCCTTGCCATGAAAATTGCCTCTCTGCATTCAGAATATATAGAGTCTTAGGTCTCACGTACCTTAGGTCAGAGTTTTATAGAGAGTATTCTGGCTAAGAGCAAAAACAAGAAGAAAACAGCTGCTCTTCCCCTTATGGAGCTAAATGTGCCACAGCAGCCAGTTCCCCATTCTGTTCAACCAGATCCTCTGCCAGTTTTTCTTCTCTTTAATCTTGCAGTCGTACTGAAGGGGCACTGTGGACATTTCAATGTTATAGAAAGCCACAGAAGGGACAGTTTGGAAGCAGGACAGCAGMAGGGACAAACAGAGCACAGCATCTTTGACTGGAGTTCAGCAGAGATGTAAAGCTCCTCTCAACAAGTTTGTGACAAGGAATGAAAGCACTCAGGATTTAGCAGCCCAGCAGTGCTGCTGATAGCTGTTATTAGGCACTCAGCAAAACCACACCAAGGTATGGCAATTCATTAAGCTTTAACTTTGGTTGTATTAATGAGGTATCTGGAAAAAGCCTTTTCCTCACTTGACTGTGTTTTTCCTTTGCTTCAGAGCAACCTGCTCAGAGAGGCAGCAGTCCTGCAGTTGAAAGCCAGACCTGCTCACTGGTCTCCCTGCTCTGACTGCCAGAAAGTTCCTGCTGAGCTGTTGCTTGGCTTCTGACCTTATGACTGTGGTGTAGCAGGAGATGCCTTGAGGGCTGTGGCCATGGCTGCAAGGCTTCAGTCACAGAAGTGTGGTGAAAAGAACTAAAATTCCGGGTAATGCGAGATTATAATACATCATGACGTGGGAGCCTGGAGCAGACCTTGTACTCAGCTATCTGCAGAGGTGGGAAATGATCTGTGTGTTTGTGTGCGTGCATGGGAGCACATGCCCAGGCAAGGCACAGGCATAGTTCCCCCAACAATTAATAAAAAATAGCTATTTTTTGTAAAAGCAGCTGCATATAAAATAAYACACTTTGGAAGCATCTCTGTTGGGGCTAGAACACAAACTGCATGAATCATGCTCCCTAAGGGTTTTTTAAGATATGGCTAAGAGAAAACAGTTCTCTTGGCCTCTCTTCACTAAGGAGTTTTGTCACAAAATTCCACAGTCAGAGACAAACCTTAGGAAGCAGGGTTTTGGAACTTTTTGCAACTCTTAAAATAATTGGTTTTCTTATCCAAAGCRTGTAGCTCATGGTGGATGAACACTTGGGCATCCTCACACCCTGTCTCAACAATGTAGGGCCACAAAGCAAGACGCAGAGGCAGGTTACTTACAATAGCTGACCCCTCCTTCAACCTAAATTTTCTTGTCCCTACCCCCAAGAACCYGACTCCACATCCTCAAGCTTCTGCTCCATGGAGTATCACCCTTATTGTGTGGTTGTTGGTTTTCTAAGGGCAATGACAATTGATGGGAATTTGCCAACAGCTGATCCTTACAGGTGCATATTTCCAAGAAGCCAACTCTGCTCAGAAGAGAAATGAAAACAAGCCAAGCCARTGGCATTTCTGCAGTGGACAGAGTGTATCTGAGCTAGCTTCTCCTGAACTATGAATACACCAGCCTTTTTTCTCAGGAACCTATGTCATTCCTGGTGAGTCAGGTTGTTAGTATTTGGTAGACAGCCAGGTGAGAAAGATGTGGAGGTGGAATGATGGTAAGCAAACAATAAATGGCASTGTAACTAGGCTAAAACTTGGCACAAGCTTCATTTGCACTGCAGCCTATCAAAACAAACTGAAAACCACTGAAAATACACTTAACATGATCAGTAACTCTTTGTCCTGGCAGGAGCACTCCACTAGCAAAAAGGACATGCCTGGAGGATAGCAAAGCTCCTTCTTGAGAGGGTAAGCTGCCTCTCTCTGTATGAGCACGAAGGCACAGGTTGGTCCCCTGGTGGTGATGTCAGTCYAGACCCCTCACTGCCAGCTGAAAGTCACAACTCCCACTCACTGCTCAGCAGGAGGCTCTCCTTCCTTATGAGCAGAAATACAAATAGAGTTTCCTAAATGAGAATAAACATATACATCTTAACAAAAAAAAACCCATTACTTGATGGTTCTTAATTATTTTATGCCACTGCCAACATACTAGGATGGAATTTACCATACCAAAATACATAATAATKTGGTAGACAAGTTGTCAGTAATAAATTCTTGAATAATTATCCAACAAGAGGTACATACCGCCTTTAAGCTGCAGGCTAATTCCCATTCTGACCAGACAAGAACTAGAAGCCAAAAAAAGTGCTCCATGAAGGTAAAGTGTTGGACCACACACTGGATAATCTTTCTGGGAAGAAACATTGCTTAGAAATGTCTGAATTCCTGTTACAGATGCAGGAGTAACTCTTCTCGTTTCTACAAAATAAGAAACTAATCACCAATAATAGCACTATATAAGTGCAAATGATGGTAATCTTTATTTCAGATCTTGATTGAGCAGGTGTAGAAACATACACCCCATGCCAGGGCTGAGCACACAGAACAACATCCCCCACCCCAAAAAGGTATAGAAGCTGTGTGGTAAGCCGATCACCTCCCCTTTGACCTGCACCTATGTCCCACTTTCAGGTGTGTCAGCACATTGCACATCACCTTTGTGTGCTTCCCAAGCACCACACAGCCAGGGTGACAACCACAGGAGCTGCACTACAAACTGTGGCTTCCTGCAGCTGTTGCTCCCTTTCAGAGATGTCACAGCTGGAGACACCAGCTCTRACTTTGTCCCTGTTGAGCTGTAGCTGCCACTGCTGGGTGCTGACCCCAACTGTCCCCARGGCTCCGCATCATGTTCCAGGTGCCAGCCCCAGGCAGGTGTGAGTGCTACGAGCTGCTGACTGATGGGTGACYCACAGCAGCCCTCATTTCAGTCAAGATTGAAATAACAACCAACAATTCAACTAGCCATACAGTTTATTTACAAAGACTGGTTCAGTCTTGGCAAATGTGGCTAGGCTACYTCCATATAGCAGTTGTCCTCTTGGGCAAGGGCTTGCCTAAGTTTCATTTTTTTCTCATTCTTCCTGCTGTTWTCCCTTAACAGTTCTATTGCTCCTTTTTTAACTGCAACTGCCAGTCTGGAGTCCTCACTGTGAAYGGTGTGAGAATCAGGACRGGAGTTACTCACAAGATGACAAGGYAACATRTTGTCTGAGACATGGAGCTCCAGGGGCTCTGCAGTTTTTCTGTCTAAGTTTAGTCCAACACTGTCCAATGATGCTGGTAAGCTGGCTGCTGAGCCACACCTCCTCCCTTCTGCATGCTTCAGCACCTCTTCACTTCCCCCTGCATCTCCAAGTTCCTTCAAGTGGTTGTGTGAGTGGTAGTGGAAGTCAGTATTTAGTCTGTCATCACCGCCCTCTTGCATTACTTCACCAGTAGGGTTAAAGGTTTTCCATTTTCTCCCCTTTGTAGGTCTTTCTCTGCTGTTTAAATCTTGACATTTCATCTCTAACAAATGCAWCAGCTGTTCATCTCTGCTGGTATTTTCATCGTTGCTATCACCAGACAGCTCACTAGAGCTGTTGATCCAAGGGCTGCCATCACTAGTCTGTGTGTCATTCTCATTAGAAGCTAAACCTGGTACAATGTTGCAGTCAGAATCCCGAACAATCAAACACACACAGTCCTTTACCCCCGGGCCAGGTTCACAGACTGCAGTGTCTGCAGATGCYTCACTCTGGTTGTTGCACAGACTAATGAAGGATTCATACAGTGACCCAGAGATAACCTCATTGTCACAGTACAGACCATTACATTTACCTGCACTACCAAAAGGCTGATAACCAGAYGGCTGGGGTGCAATGGGGCAAGAAAGTATATTGGATTTCCCTTGAACATTTTGATATATTACTTGCTTATGTATTTCTTCGTCTGACAGGAGAGCTGAAGCACCTTCATTTRCCTGTGTAGAGAAAGATGGAAAATCAGCATGTTCTGAACAGGCATCCGGAAAATCAGACTCAGGGCAGGGAGATCTGTAGTTGTTGTAACATGTCTGATTGCTAGTAGGCTGAGCAATTYGATCTCTGCAGGTGTGTTCTGGTGTCTCTGCCAAAGGTCTCAAAGCTGGTGAGGGATGCAGGCTTTCAGAGCAAGGAGTCAGGCTGCTGTTAGCCATGGACTGAGACATGAGGGCACTGAAGCTCTTGTATGCAGAGCTGCTTGGTTCCTGGCAGGCAGACACGAGCGTATTAAAGCTCCTGTAGGCAGAGCCACAGGGCTCCAGGGAYGGAGACAAAAGGGTGTCACAGCTCTTGTAGGCAGAACCACAGAGTCCCATGGGTGCAGACAGAAGGGTATCAAAATTCCTGTCTGCAGGGTTGTTTACTCTGTCTGTTTTGGTCCCAAACAATGATTTATTTGTAGRTTCCTGGGTCAGGACACAAGAGTCAAGCTCACTTTCAGAACTGCASAGAAAAAGGCTTTGATGAACTGTTTGTTGAAGATCTTTTGCATCCAGAGAAGCAGAATTGATACTGGAGCTCCGATAGCCAGATTCAAAGGATTCTTCTGATAGTTCTGACTCTTTGCTGGCTGTACTACAATTGTAGTCATCTTGAGAAGCTTTGGTGAAAAGGGAAGCTGTATGAGAAACATCACATGATTGCTGACTCTGGGCTGCACTTTCTTCTGGATTTCCCTGTGATGGATTTTCTGACCCAACACTCTCAAAGGTCTTCCTCTCACCTGTGAGGATGTTTTGGCCTTTATTGTCTTGCATGTTATTTTCATCTGCCAGGAGCGCATCAAACATGTTAGCTAGTAACTCATTGTGTTCAGGGTGCACTCTGAAAGCACTGCTGCTGCYCTCACAAGGCTCAAACACGGTGATCTCATTGCCAGTTTCTTCTGGGCTCTGAGTCTCACTGTCTGTTACACACTCGAGGATTTCTATAGACTCTACAACTGGAATTGTATCAGGRGTTAAAACTGCACTGCTGCCTTTTGGCAACCACTCCCCAGACTTGCTGTGGCAACTGCACGATTTCTCAACATTTGTGATGTTATCTTTTCCCTTGAAGTCTTGGCTTGACAAACTTTGAGCCAGACAGTTCTTGCAACTTCTGTTTTTGGAAGTCAAAAGGAAAGGACAGTCAATGTTTATGTTAAAGGAAACAATTTTATACTGTAAAGCAGAGGGTTATTTTTTTTTAATCTTACTTACATTTGTTGTTCCATATGACTCTGCTTTAAGTCATGGAAAGGGAACTTAATTTCATCAAAGTAGGACAAAACTGAAAACTAATAAAGATGCAAATGAGATTTAGGACACATATGAATTGTATTTAGTATCCCCTAGACTAAACTGAGAATAGAATTTATTATATTTTTATATAATATATAAAAATATAATAAATTTTTTTATAATTTATATTTTTTTTATTATATCTAGTTCTAATGATCAGGAAAAGATGTTTTTTTGCAAAGCTTTTAAATTACCTTGACATTTTTTACAACCAAATGGCTCTTTGCAGGATCTGGGATTTGATCCCACCATTCTTTCTTCACTCTGCAAGGGAAGAATGAAAATTGTTTGTTTTGACTGCACTTGAGCTTAATCAGTGTACATTTCTCTCTTCATTCTCCTCTCCCTTCTTAAGCATCTGCACTCCATCAACAGAAAGTTTTCTGCATCTCCTGCTCTACATTAAACCAGTGCAAAGTCATTTATATGTTTGATATGTGACTGCTCTGCAGAGTGACAGTCACCTSTTCTTCTAACCATGTTTAAAATTATGTGTGAAATAGACAGGATCTAAATTTTAAAATGAATTTWAAAAAATTAAAATAAATAAAGATACTTAACCATCATTACTTKAACTCCAGTAAAGACAGGGGTCCAAAACTGACAAACCCCTACTATAAGAAGCCTCTTCTAGTGAGACTAATAAAGACTACTCAGAAAATGACAGTGTAACTGACTTGTATTTATAAAATCTCTGCTCACAGACAGTTAGACAGAAGGGCTGAGAAAACCCAAAACAATGGATTTCTGTACTACAAGACATTGGGCTAATCAATAGCAAWACTGATACCCGTATAAACTGTTACTCTATAAACTCTGTAACAAGCAAGATACCTACTTGGTAAAACAGAAGTAACACATGATGGCTCCTGCCATGATCAGTATGCAGGATGTGGGCACAACCATCCGCAGAACATCTTCAGCTGTCATCTGGTAATCTGTTAAACAAACAAACATCTACATGCGAATGTGCATATAAACACAAGAACTGGCAGTACCAAATTCATTGGTGATTTTCTGCAACTTAAAAGAATGCTCTTTTAGAGGATGTAAAATAAAGCCTCCAGCACATAAAAAACAGACCTCAGGAGCTGC